TGAATGTAAAAAACTACGGTTGTTAAAGCTTCACTCTGCRCGACGTGCAGCGGGAGAGTCRGGGGKTGGGRTCCCGACATAATTTTTCTCCGRTTAAAGACCAAGATTTACATCAAGAAATCCTTATTGCCCTCCCCGTTTCATGCATGCCATTCAGATGTAGCCATTTTGGTCAAACTTTGTAAATGGTATACACAATCTTATGCAAGATCCCACAAGATGTATTAGTGCTCAGAGTATGTACTGAGAAAGGAATCTCAGCTACTACCACACCAATTTGTACCTCAATATCTTTCAATTTGACTGAAATAAAGCTATGTTTGTGTTTTCTATGATCAGACTCCAAAGKTAAAAAGTTGAAGATGTAAACCCAATGAATACTTCATGATAATTTTATTAAAATATGTCCAGTATTTTGATAACAGACGACCAAGTGAACAAACATACAGCGTCCATCAGTCTTTAATTTATATTAGCACCAAACATAATCTTTATAAAAACAAATCCTGCTTTTTTAAGTGATTTAAAGTCGTACTCCGTGATTAACTGTATTTTTTTCAGGTTGGTTGATGACCGCTGCGTGGTCCAGCCTGATGCCGGGGACCTCAACAACCCTCCAAAGAAGTTCAGAGGTAAGAAGCACACAGAGTCCACAGACGTCACAACACAAACTGCTGTTTGGGAATCCCGCAGCGAGCATGAGAGACACTGTTAAATGTGTGTGTTGTTGTTGCTTCTTTGTATTTCAAACGGCCCTGCAGTGTTAAAGATGTGTGGGTATTTCTTTGCTCATCTGCACAAGTGAAGGCAGATGGAGGGATTCAGCACTGATGCAGATTTTGTTAGAAAMACAACAGAACAATAAAGCTGCTAAGAGAAAGCCTTGAGCTGTACTGTCTCTGATTTTGCTATTATTAGCTACTGAACAGGAAGTAGATCCCGGTTCTCAGGCTTAAAGTTAAAATTCCTTGGAATGGGTCAGGCTAAAATACTCTTTGAGTTAATGGAAGTCTGAGAACATGGGAGGTTGTTTGTAGGCCATATTTTAAAAYACAAATCAGAGGGAAATGCATTTTTCCTGCTGATTGTTGACTCATGATGCAACACAGCTGGGCCTGACAGATTATTTTTGTTTGATAGATTAAGTGATATGTAGAACATGTCAAAAGCACAGAATGGCTGTACATAAAAGGAAAGAAGTAATTACAAATGTCTATAATACTTAAGGATGTCTTTATTAGAGATTTGCTTTCTTTTTCCTTAATTTATTTTATTACTTTCAGTATTTCTTTCTTTTTAATTAATTAATTTTATCTCGACCAGCAAGGTTGCTCCTATGAAATGTAYATCCACTGGTCCACCAGGATGGCAAAGTCTTTGATCCCCTCAGTGTTTTTAAGATTAACAATATACAGTATTTCATGCTCAGTTTACAGCAAGACAAATTAAATTAGATAAAAATGGAGTTTCACTCCAATCATACCTAATTTAATGTCTCTATCTCATACAATACAYTGCAAGTTTCCATCAGTAATGTGGGTTGTTGACTAATAAAACAAGTTGGTGTCACCTCCTACATATATAAATATGTATGAAGCACATTAACATTAACGGAGGCTTTGTTTCATTACTGTAGCTTACTCTGTAATGAAAAAACAAGTCATGTGAACATTTTGTTTATTTAAACATTTCCAAAGAGCACATTATGTGTTTGTTTGAGATAAAACTGTGCAAACCTTTGCTAAGAAGATGCTTGTTAAATGCTTTTATTATGATGTTAATATTAATTAATTAAATTAATATTTACTGAGATCACTTGAGATG